TTTTGTGCAAAATTTATTTTACATGAACCTACAATTTGTAAAATGCATGTAAAATCTGTGCAAAACTCATGTAAAACTTAAGCTGCACGTAAAAGCATTTTTTTTTCATATCCTGTGTGGAATATGTACCTAGTATCTTAAGTTTCTCCACTGATAACACTGTACCTGGAGTTCTGCTGAGTTGACATCCTTGATTGAAGAGAAAGACTGGCAGAGACTGTGCAGGTTTTTATCATCAGGGTTCTTCTCAGCCAAGATGAAGAGTTTGTTGAAGAACTTTAGTACCTAGTGTTGGACAAGACTTAGTCTATCAACCTGCTCATGTCACTCCTTTTCTTTAGGTCACAAAGTAGGGAATAAAGCTGTGTTTTCCCATGTAAGGAGCAAAACAAATATCTATTGCTTACATCACAAATCATACAATAATTATACCTGTCTGTATCTGTATCTGTATAGTCAGTATACCCGCCCTTTGGAGTAACATACCCTTTCATAATACCAGCATAATTAAACATTCTTGTTTTGTCTAAGGTCCTTCCTCCATGTGTTTCTACCAAGTACCCATAGGCAATTATAGGCAAATAGTACCCAAAGCTTTCCCCTTTTGATACAACTTGAAGGATATTTTGCCCTTAAACTATACACACTACATTTTAGGGAAACTACAAGCTAAAATGAAGCTTTATTAGTTCTTAGAACTTGTGATGTTCTGAAAACTCTGCACCATGTAGACACCATGTAGACATGTAAACATGTCTACATGTAGACATGTAGACACCATGTAGACGCACCTTGTTGGTGAAGGCAGCTGACAGCTTGTGACTGGCAGACAGCAGCAGTGCCACCAGCTGGCCTCCCTGGTCGTCACAGAAGAACTTCTTCATGGCCAAACATCCGGGGCTCTTCTCCAGCTGAACAAGACAGTCCAACATGTACATCACAGTCCAATATGTACATCACAGTCATCCAAACTCCACATCAAATCAAACATCACAAGTGTATGGGGTCGTGTGGCATAACGGCAGAGTGCTTGACTCAGAACCAAGAGGTCCCAGGTTCAAGTCCTACCATGCCACCGATCTTGTGCCCTTGGGAAAGGCACTTAACACAACTTTACCCAATTTAACTCAAGTCATAATGAGTATTGTCTGTCCTGTATTTTGTTCCATGCGTGGGACATAACACCAGCAACACCTGCCTTTGTTCCACGTAAATATATTATATTGTAACAGTTACAATCTCAATAAATCAAATCAAATCAAGTTCCTGTGCTACATTTTACTGCAATCCCCAAGACATTATCACCCTTTATGTCATACCTAGGCTGCGATAATGTTCCATACCTGTCAAGTGTCCTGGCTATAACTAGCAGTATGGGATTCTATTTGGTTTTCACATGTAGGCTTTCAAAATAATGTTCCATAGAAGCCAATTAACATTTAGCAAACATGTTTTGTGTGTGCTGATTTTAAAAATTTGAAATACCAGATTCAGACGTTGGAATAGAATCATGTTTCACTATTTTTGTTTAGACTAGAGACACCAAACTTTGGCACATTTTGCTGTAATAAGCGTCGGTCACAACCTGGCGTACGTGCTTCTGCGTGCAAAAACGTGGGCAAACGTAGGGGATCCGTAAGTGGTGAGTACCGCCTCTGTACAGAATCTTACAGACTTGGGAGCACGTACATGTAGACACGCCATAGAATTTTATGTGCATGTAAAACTTGCCAGACGTAGCGTGCAGACTACACTCTTACACCTTGCGCAACCGTGCGAGTGACGTGCGTTGACGCCACTCCTTCCCCACGTTTTCAGAAAAACGTAGCAGACGTAGCCTTAAAAAAAAAACGTACGGACAAAAAGCACGCACTGCGGGTTGTGACCAACGCTTTACCTGAACATCCATGAACTTGATACAGTCATGCAGAATGGTCTCATCCAGACCACTGTGACTGGTCATGAGCATGACTGTGATTTTGTAGGCTGTAGCCACCAGCTGATAGTGAAGTCTGCTGGTGAAGTCTTCCCCATCCAACGGACCCAGAACACGTTCTAGTGTCACTATTAGATAGTCTGTCAGGTTTTCACTGGTTCCATCTAGGAGCAGTGGTTGGAGAACCTGTAACAAGTAACGTTGGATTCATCAGAAAAATTAACATGACTGTAGAATCTGATGCAGAACCACAGGTTTTAGTAGACGTACATGTACATGTAGTTCAACTTAAAGTTTGCAATGCCTTTGTCATGATCTCTATGAAAACACACTTTGAGGTTACTGTTTTAGGGTGTCTGTGCATCTGTTTGTCTGTCTGTGTTTCCACATTACAGCCTAAGCTTAATGTAAGAAGGATGGATTGTAATGATTGTAGTAGATGGGTAGGTATTGGAAAAATTTGGGCCTCCAGGCAGCTTTTGTTGGTATTGCAGTTGTAGTAAAATTAAAAAGCATCTGCCTGATACAGTGGTGCAAGCCAAGTGGGCATAATTTTTTTTTGGGGGGGGTTCTTAAAATTCAGGTATCACACTGTACATTGTACCTTGGTTCAAAAATAGGTTGCCCCAAGTAAAATTTGGTTGCCCGAGGCAACTGGGCAACCAGTTATTTTGCACACTGGATTGTGAAACAAAGTGTACCTGTATGAGATGTTGTGTCTGTAGTGTGAAGGGGGTGTTAGATTGTGAAACAAAGTGTACCTGTATGAGATGTTGAGAGTTGAGTGCATCAGGACACCACACGATCAGGTCCCCACAGAAGTGCACCAGACTGGACAGCACATGTTTGACTGATGACATCAGGGAGAAGGTCAGCTGGCTGGACAGCCCGGTCACATGTGCCTTCACAACCAGCTCTGTGTAGCTCTCACATGGGATGGGATCATTAGCAAAAGTGTTCCTCCACGCTCCGGTACTGGGATATTCATTTCCTAAGAGATACAACAAAAAGAGGTTGAAGAAGTTAGAAGTCTCAAAAATGACTTGCCACTCACAGGATCAGCCCTGTTACTTACATGTAACAGTACTGTCTCACAAAGTTCCCAAATTTCCTTGCCAACATGGTAAGACATTGGCAGGGAACCGATCCATGAAATCAGTCATCCCAAACGAAGGGTGCTTCACTACAAATGAGGTGCATGCATCAGACTGAGTATAAAGGACACATCTTTAAAAGTAAGGACATAACATGATCAAGCTGGAGATATGATCAATGAAAGTTAGGTTTCTGAACTTTTTTTGATAGGTTTCCATGTACCTACATGTATCATTCAATAATTAATCATAATAAACATGTATGAATGTATAAAAGGGGAGGAGGGGTTGTACAATTGTTCATGTGTCTGTGGTACAAAATGTTATCAGATGTTGGCAAATAGCAGTACAAGATTAAAAGGTACAGTCAAACCTGTACTAGCGGTCACCTTTGTATAGTGGTCACTCGGCCATAGCGGTCAGTTTTTGCCGGTCCCTTGAATTTTTCCCATTGACGTAAGCATTAAGAATCGTGTCTATAGCGGTCACTGTTCAACGCGGTCAGCGGTCACCCCATTCCGGTACCGCCGGCATGTCAACACAGCCGATAGCGGTCGCGGCTGGCCGTAACCCGCTAAGCACCACGGCCGTAACACCACCCCACCTCGGGCTACGACCGTTATGAGCCTTGTGATAATTTTCCGATCGCTACATTACTAAAATGTGAACTGAAAATTAGACTCCATATGTGTATGAAATAAGGAAAACTGACTTTTGACGCGAAGTTTCTGCGGTCGCGGGTGTCTTTGATATCTGCGTTTTCCCCAACACCAGTGCCGTGCGTGCCGCATGGAGCTTTCAATGGACTCGGCCGCTCGGCGAAGATTACGGCAAATTATCTTTACAAAAAAAA